CCCTAAGTCATTTTACTGCCACTGGGCAAAAAATGTTAGTCAGTCGATCAATGGGAAAACCTCACAATGATTCCTCATCCTATTTGCGCGGTTGTATGGGTCTCGTCCAATCGCGTCAGCAATCGCCGCGCGCGGCGAGGCGAAACATGGCAGCCGTGACCCCTCGTGGAGTCCTAAACCTACACCCCTTCCCTGGATCTAGCCAAAAGTGTTTTTTTTACTTGTCGAGGGAGACCCATTCTTCACTGGCTCGGAAAAAGCTTCCCTAACCTAACTTATTTGTGGAGGCAAAATGTTTGCGCTCTAATGGGAAGTGTAGAAGACCAGAGAGTGGTTTGAGAAAAATGCGAATTTCTCTGGTTTAATAGAATGTTTAGCCGGTACTCTTGCTCCCTTTGCTTAAGTTTTAGCCCTGTTTCAGGAAGAAATTGGCAGCAGAAGAAAAGCTGAGCACATAGCAAAAGAGAAATGCACTGGAAAAAAACAAACGTTTTGTTGACGTCAGCTATCCCATCAAAATTGCGGTCGAAAGCTGTTCCAGTGATGCAGATCACGCGACCCAGCTTGCTCGAAAGTGTCATCGTGTAGCTGTTCAGAGGATCAAGCACGTCTGCAAGAAATCCAGTAAGGCCCCGTGAATTCGAAGTACATGCGGGTGAAGGTGATAAATGCTCTGATATTGTTCCTCACTCAGTTTACTAGAACTCGGAGGAAATCCCCGTGAGTGCCCGCTCAGGCAGTGAGATCCAAAGTCAAAAATATGCGTGTTAGTTGGCTCATCAGTAAAGGAAAAAGTAGAGCCTACTGAAGAAAGCTCCTTGGCTAGGGCCCTCCTTTTAGGAAGCGTTCATACTTAGCGACAGCAGCGGCGATCGTAGCGATCGTCGGTATCTGGGCACACCATCGTTGTGATGATCATAACGGTGGGGGTCGTATTTGACCTCGACGGAGGGGGGGGGGTCGTAAGCGCATGGCCCATTCTGAAGTGGAGAGAGCAGCGATACTCAGATGTCGTTCAGCGTCAATGATGGAAGACTTATCCATGTGAAGAACTCCTGAAGAGACACCAACACAGAAGCAGCGCAGAAGTGAGGAAGGCGAAGAATACGATGGCAGCCCAGAAGGATGTCATGAATTAATAACACTTCTAAACCTTTCTGCTCGCAGGAGCACATCTAATACTTGCACGGAGGGTGCCCTGTCTAGAAGTTGCACCTTCGAAATACCTCTGCGTAAAAGCGCTATGCATGGCGCATTGCAGAGGTGATGCCAATTGGCGCCCAATGAACTATTTCCTGATACCCTTTGCGGAAACATGTGTTTTAGAAGCATACCAAAGTCTTCAAACGAACTGGAACTTTGAGGCGTCGGAGGGGTTGCGTAATGATCACAACGGGGTATTTTTCCAAATAGCAAGCCCAAGGATAAAACGAATATCTTGCTGGAAAGGAGAAGACCTTAAAATTCTGTCACTGCTTTTGTTTTACAGATGGCCCTGCATGAAGACTGTTATGGCAGTTCAAAGCGTAAGGGCTTGTAATTGATCCCAATGATCAACGGGATCACAACAGGGAGAACTCCTTAGTGAAAAATTTTGTTCGCAATCGCTCTATCTCAGGTAACAAGGCCAACTAGTGCTCCACATTCCTGTTTTCTCCTCTCCGGAAGCTCCACTCTCAAAGAAGTTATGAGTGTTCAAGTGACGGTCCTTTCCGAGCGTTTGGCTTGGAACTGGCTCCGGAATCGTGAAATAGCTCGCTCCAATACCTCGGCACGAAGCGCGCTCTAACTCTAATTGCACCTTTGAATGGCCGCGAACGATTAATATTCAAGTGTTAGCACATGGATTTTTTCGTTTTTTCTTCCTTTTTCATGTCTTCTTGTGGTTCATTTATGGTTTTTTACTATTGTTTATTTATTCGTGATTCATTATAGCTCATTTTTTTGCGTTTCTCATATTTATCCTTGTTTACCGTCGCCTCTTTTATTTGTCGTTTATTTTCGCAGATCTTCCATTTTTTCGGTGTTTGTTAGTCCGCTGCTAATCTGGTCCGCTGCTACTAGCTCAGCAGGGGAAAAATCGTATCAGGACCCTTTTTAGAAGAGAGGGGGTCGTATTCAGCAGAAAATGATCACACGGCAATGGCGTGCTCTGGTCGGTATGCGACCGTGCGCTTCACAACGCTAATGTGTACATCGTTCGCTTTGATAAACGGGGAAATCCAACTTGTAGTACCTTTTTTCTTAATAGTGGCCACTGACTGATAAATTACGATTTTCCTATTTGAGAGCATCTGAAATCGGAGGAGATGGGTTGCACCTTTTTTTTCAAGCTCGGAAAAGGGCAACTTCATTTCCTAGGTGAGCTCCCTTTTGCTGCTTTTGTTTTCATTGTTTCAACTGATGCATTCGCCTGAAAAATCTTCTAATAACTAGGCTTTCCCAACAACGAAACGCCTATAGTTTACAATTCGAGATTAAACAACGAAAAAAAGAAACTTATTTAGGAATTGAACACTAATTCATTTATGCAAAAATAAGGAGGAGGAATCTGCATAACTTCATGTATAAGCTTGAAAAATGAAAAAAGATATAATAAGAAACTTGTCCTAAACGGAGCCATCACGCATTTTGCTCATTCTTATCTTAAATCAAATAAAATAGAAAAGAAGTGCCACTGATTTCCTGACTCAAAACATGACTAAGTAACTGAAACAATTGCAGTTGAAAGAAAAAAAGCACTAAATTATGATGGCTTTCCCTACTGCTAGTAGCAGCAGCTATCTCTAAGACTGCCACTGCTGTCGCGAAGTATGAATGCTACCTTAGCATGGCATGATCATTCAAAGAAGCGAGAGTCGAAAATGGACTGAATATGTGAGCTAGAAGGATAGACAACTAAGGGTAAAGTAGACTTTCGGACAAAAAAGGATGACGATTGAGTCACACGCTCATCGCATCTAGAAGCACACCATTCAAAAGCAAGAGACTACGAAAGGGGCAAAATTTCGGAAAACTTAGGTTACATGGAAGCGGTATAATCACAAGTTTGGCATGTCCTTATATTAATAGGCAGTTCCGCGAATAGTAATGCATTGAGATAGTTGTACAATATTTTCAATTATGAAACAGTAGCTGATAAGTAATCTCCCAAAGAAGAAAACAAGCAGGAAGCGTCCTCCAGAACAACATAAACAAAATCGCTCCCTCATAGTCACACCTCCCTGCGGTCTCTGTGCAACCCCTAGCTCACAAATCTCTCTATCACATCTCGCAAAAGTTGATATCATCCAGTGCAAAAAAAGAATACAAAAAACAACAAAAACGCAGAGGAAAAACTCTTGGAAGGAAAAAGAAATTTAAAAACTCGGTGTCCGAATTTTGGGTTACGGTAGCGCACATTTTAGTAGTGCGTCGAGCTTTTGCACCACGAAAATTGCGTCACTCGTGATTTTTACGCGTTTCACCTCGCGAAATGGGTTGAGTTGAATGTATATGCCCCCACTGAGTAAACTGTAATAAAGGAGAGCAGAATTATCCATGGGCACGAGTGCGGTCAGCAAAAAGGAGATGCAATTCCGATTAATGCCCGCCGCCCCAACTAAGAACAACTGAGTGGCCTCGTCGGAGGGCATCTAGCAAGTAAGGCATCTAGAACAAGGCGGTCCAACTGAGCAGGCGTTAGAACTAGAACTTTGAGCGGCTGTAGCTCGCTCCCCGCTCACTGTGGAGTCGAATAGAGTGGGACAGTCTCTAGCTTGGGGGCTGTACTACTTGCACAAGGAAGGACGACCATGTACTACTCGAGCGCGGGGGCTGTCTTTAAGTATATCCCCTGTTTTTCATGAAGCCAAAGAAGGTTTATTGTCCTTCCATAAGTTTACCAGAAAAACATAGGGGGAAAAGGTTCTGCGCGGCTGCGGACCTGGACCCTCATCGATGGGATTCTGCCGACCAGGTAGCTGCTACCGTATATATAAGGACAAGCTTTCATCTCTGAGAACGGTCCTCGCCATATAAAAGGGGCTAATGGATTTGCACCTGCAGCAGCGCGCCGCTTTCTTTGCTCAACTGTGCACGGAAGCAGGCTTAGGGTGTTGGCACCCGGGAGACGGTAAAGAGGATCGTAATTCGCCGCACCGCCACGCGCGGCGATGGGCGCGGCGTTTTCATAACTCGTTTTAACCTGTCGAATGAGCACCGGACTTCATGTAGACCCCGTCATCGTAGACACTCATTACTGTTTTCGGTCCTTAATTGCATGTTGTCGCCATCTACTGCCTGAAACCATCGTCCTTTGCGGGCGGGACGTCGCACGCGACGCCCAGCAGCGCGGCAAATTACGATCCTCTTGTCACATACCCATGGCACCCGGATGCTTTCTCCCTATCCGCCCACACATTCGACAGTCTGTGCTCGCCTCGAGCGGTCGGTCGATCGATCGTTCGCTTGGCTACCCCTATCCCACTAACTCAAAGAAACCAAACCTTCCGGACCTTCCCTAGTCCACATGTTTCAACAGCTGTCTGAAGACTGCTCGATGGTATTCACTGAGCTACACAATCTATTGGAGGAGAAAGCGCCCGAAATTCCACTATAACTGGAGAAATTGGTGAGCTTGCTTAATCCTAATCCGGTGAGATAGTTGAAGCGGAAAAAAGAGCTCGCTCTGTGGTTATTTCTGGGGTTCCCGAGTGTGAGTGCGATACTTCTTCATCTAGCGGACAGCTGCAACAGAAAAGTCGGTGAGTGATATATTAGACACATTAGGTATTGATACAAGACCAGTAGAGGTATACAGACTAGGAAAACGAGAAAATGGTAGATGTCGCCTCATCAAATGTGTTTTTTCAAGTCGAAGATTTTTCTATGAAACTTTAAAAAATGCTAGAACTTTGAAATCTATTCCTGATTTCAGGAACGTTTCCATTCGCAGGTCTATGACTGCCGCTGAAAGAGAGCAGGATAAACAATTACGCGCTAGGCCAAAGAGCTGAATCATGAAAATCCCAATGGAGAAAGGACTTGTATTCGAACAACAGGTTGTTAATAAAGCAGAAATGCCAGGTATTCTCAAACTCATGACAAAAAACTAGATAGACCGCTCTCATCTATTGTTTCTCAAACATCTTACTCAACGCGCATAGTCCTGCAAACAAAGTGGACGAGTTTCACCATGTTACTTCTTTGCATAAACCGCGAGCAGTTTTTGTTACAGGAACTTGTTCAAAAATAACAAATAAATAATGAAATCATCTCGGATTTGCCATATCAAATCATTCGTAAAGACCGCTTAGGTAAACGAGGAGGTGGAGTTTGCGTTCTGCTTCAGAACAATATTGAATTCAAACTGGTCCAAGTTTGATTCTACAGATATTCATTCTGACATTCTCTGCTTTGACATTTATAGGTTATTCCTTTGATCATTTACGATTTATTGCTGTTTATCGTCCTCCCAAGCAGAGCTCTTACGACGATGAGCTATGCAGTCTTTTGGCTGGTTTACGTTCTTCCTCCCCAAACGTTGTTATCCTTGGGGATTTGAACCACGATATTGATTGGTCTAAGGTAGAAGCCCCAGTGGCCAAACGAAAAAAATTCAATAGTTTCATTTCGCTGTTATCAATGTTGAGCCTCAAGCAACATGTTGGAGAGCCTACCTGTGGTGCGTCTATCTTGACTTAGTGCTCACAACTCCAAATCTCGTGGTGAACGCTGTTATTGAATTGCCTTCTGGGTACCTCTAATCACAACATTGTGGCATTTTCGATCAAAACAGAGGGGCGCAGTCTGGACAACCCACGTTTGAAAAGATTACACCAAAGCCAATAAAGAAGCCATTATAGCTGAACTCAATACAATTGATTGGTTCACCATTTTCACAATTATCAATCGATCGATGACGTCTATGATAGATTTCTGCTCGTACTGCATTCCCTCATCGATCAGTTTGTTCCCTGTCAAAGTATTCACCCATTTTAGGGAGTCCTATCCCACGTACATTAGAAATCTTCGCCCTCACCGTGAAAGGCTTTTCCGAATGCTAGGTAATCCCAGATCAGCAGAATATAAAATAGTAAATAAGGATTTCGCGGTGCATCTAAGAAGATATCTTGCATTCAAAAAGAGACAAATGCTTGAACGTCGCAACATGAAGGCGCTTTTTGCCTATATCGCAGCTCCTCTCTGCCGCGTATTTAATATTTCACTTATCGCAGGAGAAGTGCCCCGTTATTGGAAAGGATCTTTCATTATAGCCTAAGAAGAGAAGCCCACTGCCTCGGTACCTAGTGAATTCAGACCGGATCAGCATCACCCATCTCCTTGCAAAGTGATGGAAAAAATCCTAAAGTCCTGCTTACTATCATGGTTCGATAAATATCAATTATCCCGCGCGAACAGTTCGGTTTCGTAAAGAACTCATCCACATGTCTACAACTATTAGAATGCACGCACAAGTGGGCTACTGCTTTGAGCTCGTCAAAAATGTCGACATAATATACTTCGACTTAAGTGAAGCATTTAATAAAGTGGTCCATATTGAGCTCCTCGACAAACTAGATAGTGTCGGTATCAGAGGTGCCCTCTTGAAATGGTTGAAGTCCTCCTTTTAGGAAGATCATTCACTGTTAATTTTCAAGGGGCCTTCTCACGCAGTCACTACTGCACCTCTGGGGTTCCCCAAGGAGGAGTTCTTTCACCGCTCTTATTATAATATATACAATCGACCTTCCATCCGCCCTCATGTTCGATAAGGAGATCGAGATTTATGCCTTTGCTGATGAAAGCTTTCGCATGTTCTAAACCTGGTGACTTTTTGAACATGAGTGCTCGTATGAATGAAGTTGTTGATCGCACGTCTGAATTCACTGAAGATTGGGGCCTTGAGCTTAATTTCAACAAAACTTGTGTTCTCACTCTGGGGAGAAATCATGTGAGCTCTCTTCAACAAGCATTCCCTCGGCATCTATTGTAAGTCGAACACGCGATCTTGGTGTAACTGTTTCAAGACCAGTGACATGGGATTGCCATATTGATGATATTACTACACGTGCCTTTCCCCACAAATCCTATCCGCAGCCTCAACGTGGCGTGGGGGTGAACGGTTTGGACTGTTCCAACACCGTACCAATGCGGAGGGTGCCACGTCAGAGCCTGGCGAGCTACGCGTGGTTAAATTTCTTCTCGCCGAAAACAGTAATAATTATGGGCCTCATTCCCCTGAACCTGAGGGAACCACCGCACGTCGGCTGGGACCGCTCGGGCGAGGCTGCAAGAATCACAGGGCCAACGGAGATTTAAGTCGCCCAGGACTAGGATGACGATCTGTACTTTCAACGCACGGACGCTTGCATCGGAAGCTCACATCGAAGATCTGATGTTGCAAGCCAGGAAGATCAAGTACGACGTCATCGGACTGACCGAGACGAGGAGGCATCGCCCGCTAGCCGTATACGAGACTGGAGAAGAACTGTTTCTCGGAACATGCGAGAGAAGAAAGTTTCTTCAAATTTTCAAGAATTTTCAGGTTTTTTCAAGAAGCGAATCCCCAAGACCGTCATCAACTGGGATCACTTCACTTCTCTCGCTGGGCTCTGGGAGGATTCCGTCATCGACAACATCGACGAGGAATACGAACGGCTTGTCGCACATCTTCACGACTGCGTCAAGTCAGAGAGTTCCTAGATTACCAAGAGATTATCTCTGAGAACTCTCGAGCTGATTCGCCAACGTGGAGCCGCAGGCAATTACCAGCTGACGTCTGAGCTTGCGAAGCTATGCAGAGAAGCGATAAAGGAAGACCTCAAGGAGAGAAGAGCAGCAGTACTGGTGGAAGCCGCAGAGGCAACGCCCGCCGCGACTTCGCCAACTGTAAGACCAAGATGACCGCCCTCCGACGTCCGGAACAATCACCGCATCCAGAAGGGCAATGGAGAAGGTCATCCACGACTTCTACTCGGATCTCTTTGACAGCCACGTCCACCTGCAACCATACCGCTTGGAGCAGGATGGATATGTCGTTCCTGCAGTTCTCCCTTCCGAAGTCCGACACGCCATCTCGTCGGTAAAGAATCGTACGGCACCCGGTCCCGACAGGATCAGACCCGAACATCTGAAGAATCTTCCGCCAGTTCTTGTCAAAACTCTGGCTCGACTCTTCACGCGCTACCTGTCGGAATGCAAGGTACCCGTGGAAAACCAGCAAGACTGTGTTGCTGTACAAGAAGGGAGACCTGTACGACATTGGCAATTATCGCCCAATCTGCCTGCTGTCTGTAGTCAAACTTTTCACACCAGTGCTTCTTCCCCACTAAGAAACGGGACATGTGTTAGCTTGAAGAAGGTGGCAAAATAAAACTTATAAATCGCAAAATTCTTTTGTCGAACCGTTACAGGAACTTCTTGTATTCGAAGAGTTCCAAAGTTCGATCAGGACACAGATACTTCGAACGTTCCGCACCCTCGGGAACACGTCGGATGGTAGCGGATTAATTGCATAGCGGTTTATAAGCTTATTAACGGACTCTGACGTCGCCAAAATTTCCCTCTCTCAGTTTGTTTGAAATCCAGCAATCACGGACCAGAGGTGGGCAAGCTAAAATTCTCTTAGCTTGTCCAAGGACCAGGGTGAGAGCCGCTAGCTTCTCATTCAGAGCCGCGAGCACATATAAGAGGGTCACAAAGAATTTATCCATTCCCAATACTGTGCGACAGCTTAAGAGGATTGTAGCTTCACGGCTTCTTAGTCACGTAACATCCCTAGTGTTTGAGATTCGACCTTCTCGTTTTTTCGCTAAATTGAAACCCAATGTGGAATAGTCGCTCGATCGATTGGCCAACTTCGTCGCGCTTCAAATTTCTTTCACTTATGATTAGTTCTGATATCTTTTGATATACTGAGTGAGCCGTTGATGTTCCCTGAGCTTGCAATATAATCCCGTTGTCGTCCTGTTCCAATGAAAGTCTTTTATTTCCTCGTCGAATAGTTTCTATCTTTGTCTGTTGTTGATTCTACATTACGACTGTGGTGTGCTTCCTTGGTATGCCCAGCGTTATTTAATCAAATCATAACATATCAACATTCAACCTTAACCTCTTCTTCACAACGTGAGTCATCCCGAACAAGGATGGCAGAACACTATACGAATTCCAGCCATGGCGCGAGCAAGCGGGGGTTTTGAAAGATTCAGCAAGATCGACTACATCATCCACGGTCCGAAGCTCATCGAAGCATTTGCGAGAGAACAGATGCCGCTCATGTCGTCACATTCATATCCGATTTGACAAGAAGCCTTCGACTACCCGTTGAGACAGACAAGCAGTTTATCGAAGCTGTGGGCAACCCACGTATGGAATGCTCCTATACTTAGACAACACAGTTACATATAGGATTCTTCTTGGAGCTTTACAGAACATCCTTCTAACGACTGAAGATCTCATACGCATTCTGGCAGGCTAGATCATCATCGACCTGAGAGAGGGGTCCGACAGGTCGACACCACCTCTCGCCAAAGCTATTCAGGCGCGCCCTTCTCGAGACGTCGCGTCACTGGAATGGGATTTAGACATTTTTAAAGTGACGATCGACGGTCGCAACTACAGCATCCTTTGTTCCGCCCTTTGTGAGATTCGACATCGTTTTGATAACGCCAAACATCGAGCAAGCGGAACGAATGCTGGCTGAATTCGACTGCGCGTGTGGAAGAATCGGTCTACGGCTGAACCTAACGAAGACGATGTTCATGAGAAACGGATTGGTATCTGATGCCCCATTCACGCTCAACGGAACGACCATCTCTGAATGCTCTAGCTATGTGTACGTAGGTACGTGAAATCAAATATGGAATCGAATGACCTAGCTTCCAAAACTGAGCCAGGAGGAAGCCGAGCGTCGCCTATGGAGCCTTCAAGAACATCGAGGGAGTAGCGAAGAAGACGAAGAACACCAAGCTCCGTGCCCACCTCTTCGATTCCGCGGTCCTTCCTGCCTTGACGTACGCCTCAGAGACTTGGACTCTACGAAAGCAGGATGAGCATGCGGTCGGGTTAAAATGCAACGCGCAGCATCGAAAAGGGCGATGCTCGGAGTTTTCCTGCTACACGCAAGTGAGAGAGGGAATCCGGAGCTCCGCACTCCGCCGACGATCGAAGATCAGAGACGCCGCCGCATTTGCCAAGGTTTCGAAGATCAGGTGGGCCGGGCACGTCATGCGTTTCGAGGACGACCGCTGGACCAGAGCGATCACCGACTGGATTCCACGGGATGTCAAGCGAACGCCTGGACGACCGCCTATGCGATGGTCAGACTTCTTCGTGAAAGCTCTGAACGAATGGTATGAAGTTCATCGTGTCCCTCGAGCAGAGAGAGTTCATTGGGCAACTCTTGCACGTTGCAGGGACGAATGGAGACGTTACTGGCGCCCGCTCGAGGAACTCGATGATCAACGAGCACAGGTGATACGCGTGCCTTTCGTTGTCTTTTCAGCCTATTTAGGCCGATTGAAACTTCAGATGTAACTATCCTTATCAGACTGTATAAGGCATACATATGCCATTTTGGAATACTGTTCTCAGGTGTGGAGCCCACAAGTGAAAAAACTAGTTTTAAAGCTTGAGAAAGTACAGATGACATTCACTAAACTGGTCTACCTTCGTGCGTTTCCTGATCCGGGCTCGATCCTTGCCATCCTCTCTCTTACCCATATCCCACACCTTGCTCCACAGCGCACATGCTTATAATTACCACTCTTCCTGCCTTACAGGATCGTCTCGGACAATTTGTTCGTGTGCCTTGCCTTGAAGACACATGGTACGCTCACAGACATTGAGGGTGTATGTGACTATCAGCCCCCCAGCTGTCGATGTGTCGTGGTTTCCCCGCCCGAAACTGCACGGGGTTAGAGTACAGGGCCGTGGGAAAGTCTAATTCGTCCATGCTCCGCCTACCGTTTATGCTAACAGCCGTTCCGCGCGGCGCGTGTCGCGCGCAGCTCTCTTGGCTTTTTGCCAAGTCCTGTAATTGCGCTTTGGAATACAAGTAAAACGCAATTTCCTGATGCGGATAACATTTAGGTGCTGCAAAATAAGAACTGAAGATGATGACGAGGGCCAGAACTCAAGAGCAACTGTGCTGCTTCT